AAAGAACAAGAACTGATTAAATTGTATATTAGTTTTGCTTAAGTACACTTGATTCTTCTTTACTTTTATTCTACTGTTGTCCTGGTTTTAGGTGTCTCTCACATCAGATAAATAAGATCATTTACACTGCAGTACCCCTGATGAGCCAGAGTCATCACGACTTTTACCAACTGATTCCTTCCTGAAGTCTTTAAGACACTGAATACTAACAGATTTTATCTCTTCTCTGTGAAGTGTCATATGATATAACAAACTAGTTTTGCACAAAAAGCGTTTTGAACACTTGTAACACTGATATGGTTTATTTACATCACTACTTTTATTTTTTTTATTATGAGTTTTGATGTGCTTTGTTAAGGAATGTTTTTTGTAAAAAGCTTTTTTGGACAGATTGGGCATTTATGCATTTTCTCAACTAAGTGAATTTTCATATGTTCTGCAAGATTTGATTTTGATTTAAAAAATTTCAGACACTCTGAACATCTATATGGTTTAAATTCTACATGAAGTTTCTCATGCTTTACTAGAACAGATTTTAATGAAAAGGCTTTTGAACACACTGAACACTTATATGGCTTCTCCCCACTGTGAGCTTTGAAGTGTCTAGTCAGGTTGCCTCTTTGTTTAAAACCTTTTTGACACACAGAACATTGAAATGGTTTCTCTCCTGTGTGGTTTCTCATGTGCAAAATCAGTCGAGAATTTTGTACAAAGCCTTTTAAGCATACACGACACTGAAACGGTGTTTCTCCTGTATGACTTATTTTATGCTGCATTAGCGAACATTTATCTTTGAAGTCTTTTAGACATTCTGAACACTGATAAGGCTTCTCTCCTGTGTGAACTGGCTGATGTCTCTTTAGATGATACATATCTGCAAATACTTTTTGACACACACAACACTGAAATGGTTTGTCTCCTAAATGAATTTTCATGTGTTTTGTTAGTTTGTCCTTTTCCTTAAAATCTTTATTACACTCAGAACATTGATAAGGTCTTTCTTCTGAATGAATATTCTTGTGTCTCATCAGGTGAAAACTGGATGAAAAAGATTTTAGGCACAAAATGCACTCATAAGGCTTCATTTTTGTATCGTCACTCATATTTGCTTCCAAAATAGTCAAGAAAACTTTTAAATGATAGAAATATTTATTCTTGTATGAATTATAATTTGATTTAATAGAACAAACTTTCTTTCATGGTTGAAACTGCAGATAATTTTAACATTAGGTGCTGCTGCTGCTGCCTTGCCAATACTTCTGATGAACACATACAACTGTACCGTAATAGGTGATAAATGTGTTCAATAAAAATTAGGATAAGCAGAGTGAAATAACACACAGGATAAGGACGCACTTGCAGTGTACAGAGTCTTGAGGTAAATTTTAAAATACTGAAACTGAAGTGTTTCTGATTAAGTAGTATACTCTGTGAAGTTGGTGATTACACTTGTTACTCTTTCTTCCATGTACTTGAGTTCTATAATATTAAGAGTTAGCAGTGTATCTTCAGTACTAATGACCTTCCAGTGTGATGACAGTGTTAGCAGTTTGTCTACAGCTCAGCTTCCGATGCAAGAATGACCTGTAAAAGAAAACATATGAACAATAATCCCTTATGGGTATAGCACTTAGTTATGATTGTAATAACAATAATAATGATGAACAATTATCTTTTGTAAAACTTTTAGATGCATTACTAAAGTTTATTTAGAAAGATTTACTGCACAGTATGTTATATACCGTATTTCACGGCTTAGAAGACCTGTTTTAGTTTCAAGGTTTGGCATCAGACGTAACTGGGAGAGCTATAGCCCACCCCACGCCCTAAACTTATAGCTCCCCTCACTGACCTTCAGTTTATAGGATGCAGGGTGGTGTTTGGAGATATTTTATGGAAAAAAAAAGTCTAATAAGCACCAAAATACGGTACTCCTGCAGAGGCCACAATAAAGTGGGTCACATTAACCCTTTCAGGGTCGCCAGGCCCTCTCTGAGACTTGTTTTCAGGGTCGCCAAATTTTCATAAAAAAAAAATTATTTATTCTTATGAAAAGATAGAGATTCTTTTCCTGATCATAATAACACCAAAAGTATGAAATTTGATGGGAAACTTATGGAATTATGCTCTCACAAAGTTAGAGGTCTCGACCATGTTTACACATCGGCGATTTTGCCCATTTTGAGCCCTATTTTCGGCCAATTCCAGTGTACTAGTCGACAAAAATCATAAGTATTTCACTAGAACTCTATTTTTTCTGTCGAATGAGTACAAGAAACCACCCATTTACTAATATCAACTATCCAATAAAGTGGTCAGAATTTAGCAATTTTGCCAATTTCACACAAATTTCAAAAGATCCCAATTTCCAAATAGGGTCCAGAATAAACAAGAAAGACATTCCTGGCACAAAAATAACATTTCCTCTGTTCATTAGACATGTCCCCATGTCCCTCTTACATTCTTTTGCTTTCCACTTTGAATTTTTATTCTCACAAAAAATAGAAGATTTACTATTATGCAGACACTGCATTAGTGTAGAAATGGTATAAATAATATCGTGCACTCGTGAAAAAATATCAGACTCGCCAGTTGACGTGTATTGGACGCTTAGCATGATTTGTTTACTTTGAACTTTGGTAAAAATCGAACATTTCTGCTACTTTGAGCTCAATTTCAAGGTACTTTTCATTGTAAAACCAGTCGAAATCATCTCAATTTCTGTAATATGTCTTCCATTCTATAAAATGAAACCAGTTAAACTAGAATACAACAATAAATACCATACGAAAATACAGTGCAATGTTGCTGTTTTAATCCAAAAACACAAAGTTTTTTTTTTCTCATTACGCACTGTGTGCTGCAGGATTTTTTTGATACTGC